ACAATGATGCCATTGTGCACAGAAGAGTAGCTTCTGGGAACAGTTCTGCTCCATAGTCAGGGTGTGTGTGTGTACTTGTGCAGATTACCCAGTGCTGGTGTGTTTCTGTGTGTGTGCCTGCATGGATATGTGTGTCTCTGAGTGAATTAGGTGATGTAAACCAGTTATACTACCACAGTAATCTCAGGGGATTTCCAGGTGACAACATAGGCCTCAAAGGCTTAGACACAACAATGATGAGAAGATTTCCTGACCCTGCTCTCACTCACAGTCTCTAACAATCTAATGTAATCTGTCTACAGAAGAGGCCAGTAGAGGACAGCGACTGGAGGAAGAATGTGGAGGCCATGTCAGGGATGGAGGGAAGGAAGAAGATGTTTGATGCTGCTAAGGGTCCTGCGTAGTGAACCCAGACGGCATCTGAATGAATTATATATCCAGTATATTGCAGATTATGCATTTCTCTTTAATGCTTTTCATTTAGTGTATGCTTATTTAGTTAATGCTCCCTGAAAGATTTTCCACACTTTCCTTAACTGTTTGATGTTCAGTAATAAGGTGTTAAAATACATGTAACTATGTGCCATGTGCAATTATTTGTGATTTTTCTCATAACTGGTATTTAACTTGTACCCCGTAGATTTAAAAGCTTAGTTCATTCCCAGATCTCCTGCATATTTGTAAGTTAAAAAAGGCTGCTTGTATCTTTAGATGCAGATGTGGATACTATTGTCAACATTTTGTATAGCCATTAATACAATGGCCAAATAAACCTGCAGCTTTGATGATCTTGCTTGGTGAAAAGCTGTAAGTGAAGGCTATAGATTAATGAACTATAAACAAATAATATTTCCAGTGTAAATGTGTGCACAATGGCTTCCTTAATAAAATACAACTATGGGAATCTTCTCCCTTGCAAGGTGATAGTCTCCTTGTCCGCTTAAGATTAATTATAATTCCTTTGAAGACCCCCTGACTTTTCATGGCACGCACTATCATCGGATCACAGTGCACATGTAGTGAAATACGAGTCAGACTCCAAGAAATTGACTTCTGAGGCACTTCTTTGAGACAGTACATTTCTGCCGATGTGCATGTTTCTGTAGCTGTCCACACCAGCAACCTGTTGAACAGTCATCTTTAGCCGCTGTCTGTTTTGCATGATCATAAAGCACATCCTGGAAAGTGCTTCCATAATGGTGCTTTAGTCATTATCGCCTTATCATGCTGTATGCAAAGAGTCTGCAGTAATCGTGTATCGTTTAATATTTGTTTCTCTATATGAGCACTGCAGCAACACACACCTTAGTCTACACACAATGACAGCACTGATGCATGCATGATGACATGTAAACTAACCCCGTCAGATAGCATTTTAATGTTCCGAGCTTTAAGCCTTTTCCAAAGAGGAGTGAAGCAGGTTCATACTAGCCCAAGCAGCCCCAACAAAGGATCTGTATTCCACCAAGAGCAACACGTTATCTATAATTTAGTGGGAATGCTGACACAGCATTCCAACTATCTGTTCTTCTACGCACAAAATTATTTATTATTCCGCCGGGTTATTTTGCGCTGCTTCTTCTTCCACATTGAACATCGCAGAAACTCCGTTCAAACATCAAAACGTTCAGCTCGGTCGGAAATCAATGGCTATTACTTTTATCCTTCATAACTTTCATAATTCCAGAGATACATCCCATAATACATCGCATTTTTAACATGGAAGTCAATGGAGAACTGTTCAGACTTCAACAATCTTCCTGCAACTTCAACTGCTACTTCTTCAACTGCTAACTGCTCCTTCATACTTTCATTCAGAAACCTCATTCCAACTTTAAAATGTCACACATCTTTCTGACATTATTCGTGTAACACAACTTTAAATCTGATTCTTACTTTTAGAGATATTAAACATTGTTCAGACCTTGGTAAAGAGACCTTCTTCAGATTTTAGAGTGCGTGATGTCACAGCTAGAGTGGAGGACTGATTGAATTTTGCCTTCATATTTTATTTTTAAACCTGCCATAATTCCCAAACCCTACATTCCTGAGACATCATTTCTCATGACAAATGTAGGAAAACATCTCGTAGCTTGAAAGATAAAAAAAGAAAGCAAAAATAATTAAACAAAATGCCTCTTGAGGGCATGAAGTGACAAAATCTTTCAACATGTCTCCATTAAACTCCATTGTAAATTCAGCCTCAACTTTCCCCACCACAGCAGCCGCACACCTTTAGTTAATCTGCCAAAAAGGTCACATTATTAACCCGAAAGTACACAAAAAGTACACTTCAGATGCTCAAGTTCCTTGACATGCTTCACGCTTTGAAATGTCACCGACATCTGTTACGGTTCTTCAACAAAACGTTCACATGTAAGAGGTTTATCTCTCATTCAGAACAATGAAAATGCTTTCCTCTCACTGATCACCATGGAAACCTTTGATCTCTGGACACGTCGTTAGCTCAAATATAAACACCTGTGTCATGGAACACGATGATGTCATAACTCCAATTGACATAATTAGAGCAGCAGACCAATGACGTGGTCACTGGAGTTTAACAGACTGTCTCAGCCTATTATTTTCTGTCTGATGGAGACTTCATACTGACTTCAACATGTTCCACATATTTTAGACATTATTGGTGACGTATGTTTTTAGTTCTAAAGCTTTCAGTTCAAATATTCTGCTGCTTTTTCATGCATTTAGACTTTTATTTTCTTGTTCTTATTTCACATTCAAGTCCCCTCTATTCATGAACCCTTTAAAGTACTCAGCCACACCACTTATATACCACGTGCGACTGTTGCTATGTCAGTTAATCTTTTAAATACAAGGTTGCTTGTTTGATTCATACGGAGCCCCCTAGGGGACATGGAGAAGGAAAAACAAATTATTTGAAAAAAAAGATATCGAGATATCGCAAAACCTTTGCGAGATCTCGCAAAACCCCTTTGCGAGATCTCGCAATACTTTTGCGAGATCTCGCAATACTTTTGCGAGATCTCGCAAAACTTTTCATTTAGCTCAATGTACTTCCTGGTCAGTTCGGCTGCTACGGCAACACAGAAACCACAACAATGGAGCGGTTCATCTATTTTACTTTGAGCTTGGCCTTAAATATAAAGATATAACATCAGTGCTTGGCAATAAGCACGGGTTTCACATAAGTGAAAGACACCTCAAGAGAATACTCAGAGCGAGGGGACATGCACGTCCCTCTGAGCTGAGTTATTGACAGATTCGAATTTCGCGGATCAATAACTCATGAACATAACGTTGTAAAAATACAAACAACATGACTTTACAATCATAGCAAAGTAGACAACGAGCTACAGAGTCGTTTTTATCAGAACAGTTCGATACGCGCCGTCATCCGAGCTAAACATCAAGAATTGGTCACAATCTGCAGCTGGAGGAGGGGGATTGCGTGATCTCGCAAAGGTTTTGCCAACTATCTGTTATGCTACGCACAAAATTCTTTATTATTATTATATCACCATGGCAACCTTTGATCTCTGGACACGTCGTTAGCTCAAATATAAACACCTGTGTCATGGAACACGATGATGTCATAACTCCAACTGACATGCTCAGAGCACCAGACTTCAGAAAATGGTTAACGGTCCAGCCCTCAACAGCTCTACGTCAATTATGGGGTGTCATCATATGCCTTTCCATGGAAACGCATCCCTCACCATAAAAGACGATGTCGCTATAACTCCTATGAAAATGTTCAAAAAGTGGTCAAACTTCACATGTGTGCTAACAGTCCAGCCGTGAAGACATCTACGGGACAGTTTTTGAGATTTCTTCAAATGCCGTAGCCATGGCAACACAATGCTCACCATGAAACACAGTTTTCTAATAACTTCAGTGAAAATGCTCCAAACGGCCCAAAACTTCACAGGTTTGGTAACGTTGCAGCCATCAACGCATCTAAGCGTATTATGGGATGTCATCAAAAGTTTGCAGTTCAAATATTCTGCTGCTTTTCCAAGCCTTTTTACTTTATTTTCTTCTCTCATCATCACACATTCAAGCCCCCAGTGTTCATGTATCATTTTAATCTAAATTCTTCACTTTCTTCTTACACATTACATTTCAGCATAGCAGTTTAGCGTCAGCTTTTCAGCATAAAGCATTCCCACTAGCAATTTCTTCAGGAATTGCATTCTCTAGTTATGATTGTAGCTCATCCTGTTTATTGTGTTAATATGGTCTACACATAATATAGCCAGAGGAGGTGGAGGGTGTGTGTGTGTGTGTGTGTGTGTGTGTGTGTGTGTGTTGGACTGAGCCGAGCCTGGGTCAGTCATAGACTGTATAAAGGTCAGAGTCCGAAACACTGACTGCATGGGCTCTGATGACAGGTGTGGCCTCAAACACGCACACGCACACACACATACACACACACACACACACACACACAGCAAACAGTCTGACTCACATTGTAAAGAGACTTACTGCAACAAAGCATCAGCACACAGTTTGACACAAAGCAAAGTTACACAGGTACAAACATACAGGTAAAGTTTGAACCAACCACATCAGTTGACATTTCTTACCAAAAAAAAAGCTATTTTCTTTTATCTTTATTTCTATTTAAAGTATTTATTTGAGCCTTGTGTTGTTATCAGTTATTTAAACGTTATTGTCTTTTAACCATACTGATTTACATTACCATTAGGCTAATAATCACTGTGTATTTACATGTTAGCTTAAATGTATCGCAATAGCACAAAAGCGTGCAACGGCCACTCCATGCAGTTCTCCTAAAAGCGGCAATTCAATTCAAAAAGCTTTATTGGCATTAACAAAATATGTCTTTGCTAAAGCATTTTACAAAAGATACAGATAAAGTCTTATTAAATAAACAGGTGTCATATGCACAACACACACACACACGCTCTCTCTCTCTCTCTTTCAGGTGGGTAGTTTACCTTTGCGGTCACGTGACTCCTGCACCGGGGTAAAGGTGGACAGTTTCGTGCGACTCTGACTGTAATCTGACTGCCGCCCTCACACTGCCAGCCAGTCGACTCTTTCCTGAGTGAGCGAAGTGCGCCTGGAAATTATTGTTTTCGTCCAATATGTCCATCAGTCGGAAAAATTGGTCGGCTTTGTCCAGGTAAGATTATCTGTTGTTTTAAGAGAATATGACACCTTTGGTTAAGCGCTCCATCTGCAGCTGTTGCTTTATATGTTATGGAGGTTAACTTTAGTCACTGAACTAGCAGAAAAGTATCACTCTCAGCAGGACAAAACATAGGCCTAGTTTATAATATTCATCTAGGGATATTATTATATCTGTTCAGATGTGTTGTGTGCCCTTGGAAGCTTTATGAAACAGTGAGTGGTTTCCTATCTCCTTTGTTATCATTGTTAGTAGCCTATAGGCACTTCTAACTTTCTTAGTTTGAATGACGTCACAGTTGTTGTTTTTTCAGGTTAAAGTCTAGAGATAACTGGAAAATGTGTAGCCTACCGTCTTACCCTTCTGCACTGTGTCTTCACTAACCTGATGTGTTTACTACACACATCCTGCATAACATTAGACCTTATGGTCCAGTTGTTCAGACAAGCAACCAACTGTAGTCTAACATTTACACAGTTGATGAACAAGTAAAGCAGGTTCTGTGTAACCGTTATAACGGTAATCTATCTTTATCTATCAACCAAAACAAGTAGCTAATTGGATGAATGTCAAGAGATGAATTATAGCTTTCATTTTGGACATAATTTAGTACTTGTCTACCTCTGTTTCATTTTCTGTTTTACGCCCACATTACCTGATTATAATGTGCGTCTACTATGTGCAAAATGACTTTCTTCAGCCTGGCGCGGCAATGGACGGTGGAGGATGAGGAGGAGGTGGAAAGGGAGAGGAGGAGGAGGGTGAAGAGCTCCAACGTTACCGAACCTGGTGATGACCTCAGCCCAACAACCAAAGACACACCCACCAGTGACAGCACCTTTGCGTCCAACAGTGAGATGTCCCAGGGCCTCAGCAGGTTATTTTAACCTTTATTCATTTGTACTCGTCCCTGAAAATGAAACTCTTGCGGTCGGTGTTTGCTATGCTCTTCTTCTCTTTTCTCGGTTTGTCCCTCAGTTTTATTGTATGTTACAGGGCCATAGGGATGCTAATAGTTATAGTCCATGTATTTTGATGTTAAGCAATTTTAGTGGATGGATTTCAGGAGAGACACTTTTGCCCCATGGGAATGTGTCATCTGTATACTCTTCAAACAAACAAAGAAACCTGAAACCAAACTTTGAATCAAAAACACCACAAGCCGAGTTCCTGAAGCAGCCTTCAAAGAGAGAGGAGCTCTAGGGTGTCTTAATTAAAGAAACCTGATCAGACACACGAGGGACAGTCCCCTCCTGATAATCCATCATATATCTGTCATTCACATGTGTGCTTTTACTTTTTTCTTCTCAGTGCCGAGCAGATACAGCTAGACTTTGTGGAGATGCTGCGTACCCGTGATGAAAGAAGGAGGATGAGACATGTGGAGACGCTGAGAAGACAGAAGGAGATAGGGGAGGAAGAAGGGGAGGCCTGCGGAGGAGAAGCCAGGGTGGAGCTACTGGGGGACATGGAGGAGGAGCAGAGCAGTGCGTTGCCCCCTGTGAAAGCCACATACAAACCACAACCACCCGAAAAACCAGCCTCTTACAGCCCCACCAACAGCACCAGCACTAACAGACAAGTAAGACCGGAGTAATTTGTTAACCTTTAGTGTAGTTCAATTTAAATGTGGTTATCATAGTTATATGACAACACGACTCAGAGTCTACAGCCATGCTTGCAGCTCTGTGAGGCTGTACTGAAGCACACCGTGCTTTGAGCTAAATGCTAATATGCTGCTGTTAAGGAGGTTTAATGGCAAGTTCAATATCTTAGTATAGTATGTTAACTAATTGTCAATATAAATATTATAAGTATAAAAACATAAAGTATACTATACTGAGGCTGAAGGGGGTGTCAGTAGTTGTGCAGGTATTTGGTCTAAACCAAAGAATATAACATATACATTTTGAACCGGTTATGGTTATAGATGAAACATGGTATTACCAAAGGAAACATTGTCTGAAAACCATAAATGTCAGTACTACATTTTGTGTTAATCTAGGCAGTACATTTTTTTTATATTTAACAGGATAAGTGAATACTTTACCTGCTGGTGGGGCTAAAGGAAGGAGAGGGAATCACCAACATCATTAGAATTAATCTTCTTGGGTTCATCCATGTCTGGACAAATGTTCAACCCAGTCTCATGGCATTTCGTGTTCACCAACACGATTTTTTATCTATTGATTCGTGTTCACCAAGACGATTTTCCCCTTTTTTTCGTGTTGCACAGCACGATTTTAAAAGCAATGTATTTCTACTGGTAATGTGTTTCGTGCCTGCAGCACGTCTTTTTCTCCGGTCGGGTCGTGGAAGACCGGAAGCTGTGTGGTTCATAAAAACATGTTCTTACTCAATATCAAGCCACAATTATTGCTTTTATTTTAAATCGTATAATTTCGGACTTTTGTTGCCGTCTGTGAGGAAAATAAATGGGGCTCAGAGCCTCAGAATACTGAAATCTGTATTTTTTAAATCTTTTTTTCCTTCTAATTTATTATTCTTTTCTAAATAACACACTGTTATTTACTCACCAATAACACACAATTATCATTGCTTTTATTTATTGATTTAATTCCATAATCTCTGGCTTTTTTGGCGTCCTTCAGGAACTGAATTTCAAAATAAAAATAACCGGAAACAGGCATTTCGAGCGATTACCCAAGATCCTCCATGGGAGCCTGCCTGCAGACCTCCACTCTCAGGACAGGAAGTGACGATTCTGACGCGTTTTTTTTCCCGCCCACCGAAGGACTCGTTTGATGGAAGTTTTCAAATCACAATGGAGACTCATCACGGTGGTGATGAGTCCGCCCACCGTGCACTTTGGGTCGGCCTTGGTCAAGCCCTTTTGACCCCCCCAGCCTGGTTCTCGTAAAAGTTTTTAGCTCAAATGACACCATGGAAGAATGTAACGGGAGTTGACAGGGGACTCTGCCCGCCTCATGAGTGCCTATTTTCGGACACTTTTTTTCAATTTTCCCCGGTTTTATTATTTTAGGCTATTTCACCCGGTTTCTACCGGGGACATTGCCCGGTCTCGGGTATCCCCCCCACTGCCTGTGTCCAGCCCCCCCACCCCCACCCCACCCAACTCATCCATATTAACGGATTTTGACCATTTTTGTTGCATTTTTCTCCTCTCCTCTCACTGATCGAATGGCAAACGCGACCCACTGTCGGAGGGCCTCCACGCCAGCCCGGCCTAGTGCCGGTGCTCTGGCGGTCGGTTCCTCCGAACTGCGGGTTCGACTCTGATGGCCGGGAGGGTGTGCTGCGTTGGGGTGGGGGACTTCCCCCACTCTGCGTGTCTCTTCCTTCCCGGGCCGGCCAATATGAAGCGGGACCAAGACGCACCGTCCAGGGGTCCCGCAGCGGGGTGGAGGTTCCCAGCTGGAACCTCCCCACCTCCGCCGCGGTGCACCCGGCAAACACGGTTGTTTCTCGAACCTTCCACTGTTGTCTAGCGGGTGTAACTAAAATACAAGATGTCGTATTTATATAAATAAATATATATCTATATATATAGATAATAATAATAGTGTCAGTACGATTTTATTTTGTATTTGCGTGCATTTCCTGTTCGGAAAGTGGCGCTGCGGCTGTACTGATAGTAACAACAATACAAGGTGTCCGTATATATATATATATCTATATATATATATATATATATATATATATAGATATATACATATGTATATAATAAGTGTCACGGTCCGATTTTAATTTGTATTTGCGTGCATTTCCTGTTTGGAAAGTGGCACTGTACTGATAGTGGTGATTTTATTTTGGAATTCTTAGCGTGCACTTCCTGTCCTGAGAGTGGAGGTGTCCTGAGAGTGGAGGTCTGCACCGGAACTGTCCTGAGAGTGGAGGTCTGCAGGCAGACCCTCTCAGATCCTCAGCTATGGTTTAAGCTTGCTGATTGGATGTTTTGGCCGCAATGCATGCTGGGATTTGGTGTTTATATGATATGAAATCCGGAAAACATTTTAAAAGAATAAAATAATACTTAATTCCGAGTGTTCTTGCTTTTCTCTTTGAAAGTCATCCCATAACGGCATTGTAATACACGGTTTGGCTGTATTACATATTACAGATCTGCCGTAGTTCTTTATTTATAGAGCCCTGATGAGAAGACCTTTGGAAAAACTGGAAGAAATGCTGCCGAAACTGAATACTTGACGTGGATCATAAATATATCAACAATTAAACAACATCTTCAATTTCCATCCATCCATCCATCTTCTCCCGCTTATCCGTGGTCGGGTCGCGGGGGTAGCAGTTCCAGCAGAGAGCCCCAAACTTTCTTTTCCCTGGCGACATCAACCAGCTCTGACTGGGGGATCCCAAGGCGCTCCCAGGCCAGCGAAGAGATATATCCCTCCACCTGGTCCTAGGTCTACCCCTTGGTCTCTTCCCAGCTGGACGTGCCTGGAACACCTCCCTAGGGAGGCGCCCAGGTGGCATCCTAACTAGGTGCCCGAACCACCTCAACTGGCTCCTTTCGACGCGAAGGAGGAGCGGCTCAACTCCGAGTCCCTCCCCTGATGACCGAACTTCTCACCTTATCCCTAAGGGAGACACCAGCCACCCCTGCGGAGAAAACCCATCTCGGCCGCTTGTATCCGCGATCTCGTTCTTTCGGTCATGACCCATCCTTCATGACCATAGGTGAGGGTAGGAACGAAAATGGCCCGGTAGACAGAGAGCTTTGCCTTCTGGCTCAGCTCCCTTTTCGTCACAACGGTGCGGTAAAGCGACTGCAGTACCGCTCCCGCTGCTTCCGATTCTCCGGCCCATCTCACGCTCCATTGTTCCCTCACTCGAGAACAAGACCCCGAGATACTTGAACTCCTTCACTTGGGGTAAGGACTCATTCCCTACTTGAAGTGGACAGTCCATCGGTTTCCTGCTGAGAACCATGGCCTCAGATTTGGAGGTGCTGATCCTCATCCCAGCCGCTTCACACTCGGTTGCGAACCGATCCAGTGAGTGCTGAAGGTCGCAGACCGATGAAGCCATTAGAACCACATCATCTGCAAAAAGCAGTGGTGCAATCCTTAGTCCACCGAACTGCAGACCCTCCCCCATGACTACGCCTCGAAATCCGATCCATGTATATTACAAACAGGATTGGTGACAAAGCGCAGCCCTGGCGGAGGCCAACCCTCACCGGAAATGGGTCCGACTTACTGCCGAGGACCCGGACACAGCTCTCGCTTGGGAGTACAGAGATTGGATGGCCCTGAGTAGAGACCCCCTCACCCCATACTCCTGCAGCACCTCCCACAGTAACTCCCTGGGAACTCGGTCATACGCCTTCTCCAAGTCTACAAAACACATGTAGACCGGATAAGCGTATTCCCAGGCCCCCTCCAGGATCCTTGCGAGAGTAAAAAGCGGATCCGTCGTTCCACGACCAGGACGGAATCCGCATTGTTCCTCCTCAATCTGAGGTTCGACAATCGGCCTGACCCTCCTTTCGAGTACCTTAGAGTAAACTTTCCCGGGGAGGCTGAGTAGTGTGATGCCTCTGTAATTGGCACACACCCTCTGATCCCCCTTTTTAAAAATCTTCAATTTCTCTTCACACAATACGTCTCCTTGCAGTATCAACACTAATTCGGCTGACTTTTACATTTGATCTAATTCATAGATAGGTTATATTTACACCATAACGGTGCACAGCTGATATAAAAGGACTTGTAGTTTTTAAAGATATTACTGATTTTCTTTGAATATAAGAATGTAAATACTGAGTCTGAAATAGTATAGCAATATGCTGTAAAATGATGTGAAAGCATGAATAAAACTACACATCTTCAGATGTTGTACAAACATTAGTGTCCTACACTAATAATACAAAGTTATTATGGCTGTGTGTACCTTGTGTGCACCGCCTAGTGGTTAAAGCACGTTATTGAATTATTGTTTTTATGTGTTATATTTGATTACAAAAATATTAAGAGTACATACTTTCATAGGGGGAAAGTAGAAGGTCAATGACAGAAATATAGAATATAAAAAATCAAGAAGATACTATAAGTGGTCTCTACAATAAAACAGTTTAGTGCAGGACGTACAAAGATATTAATAGGAGGAGGTGCAAAACAGAAAAACGAATTAACCTTTATTTAAACATTAAATAATACTTTAGATTAAGGTCTTCTTTTAAATAAGAAAACAACTTTGGGGGTATCTATCTACAGATAAATATTAAGCCTGACAAAGTACTTAACGTCTAATATATTGCTTTCCTGCAATGTTAACTATGTTGAAGCACTTATTTTAACTGATATTATACATATGAATTATACTCTCATGTATGTAGATATTGCAGAATTTGAGTTTAATGGTGGAGGTACACACATATTGATAGATGTCTTGTAATGCGCTTTTGAGGAACCTGCGACCCAAGATTTTCATTCATTGCATACACCGTAGTTGTGTATATGATATGTCAATAAACCTTGGAAAATCTTGAAATCTTGAAAGGGATGTGCAAAATAGCCATAATATACAGTCTTTAATTAACTATTAGTAGAGAATAACGAGTAATGAATATACTTTATTACTCGTTTCCATTCATGTCAATTTCAGATAAATGTTTAGTCTTCTCAAGCACCAACTATCAAATATCTCTCCTGATTGTTGGCACTTGACAATCACCTTCCCTGAATTTTACTCAGGTGTAACTAAAGTCTGATTTAAGAGTTGTTTATATTTCACATCATTAATCAGAATCTGCAAAGTACACCAATGTGTTTAATACTGGCAACTTCTAATTGTGGGAAAAAACGAAAACGTTCAGTAGAGGCGTCCCATAGAACATTTTGCGAAACACAATAGCCAGCATGTGTAGTTCTGGGGGGGCGTTCGATTCCAGACAGCTGTTTGACGCTTGGCGTAACCTTGGCGCACTGCCACTCCAACATCCAATCCCAGAGCTTGAAGATTAATCACGGGGACTGTAGTCCTAAACGATAGCTGGGGATTATGGGTAGTGTAGTGTCTTCGGCCATTCTTAACTCCTAGAGGCCTACGTCTGTTTCCGGTAAAACACCATATAAACACTAAATCCCAGCATGCATTGCGGCTAAAACATCCAATCAGCGAGCTTAAACCATAGCTGAGGATCTTGGGTAATCGCTCAAAATGCCTATGTCTGTTTCCGGTTATTTTTATTTTGAAATTCCGTTCCTGACGGACGCCAAAAAAGCCAGAGATTATGGAATTAAACCAATAAATAAAAGCAAGGATAATTGTGTGTTATTGGTGAGTAAATAACAGTGTGTTATTTTGAAAAGAATAACAAATTAAAAGAAAAATACAGATTTCAGTATTCTGAGGCTCTGAGCCCCATTTATTTTCCTCACAGACGGCAACAAAAGTCCGAAATTATACGATTTAAAATAAAAGCAATAATTGTGGCTTGATATTGAGTAAGAACATGTTTTTATGAACCACACAGCTTCCGGTCTTCCTCGACCCGACCGGAGAAAAAGACGTGCTGCAGGCACGAAAACACATTACCAGTAGAAATACATTGCTTTTAAAATCGTGCTGTGCAACACGAAAAAAAGGGGGAAATCGTGTTGGTGAACACGAATCAATAGATTAAAAATCGTGTTGGTGAACACGATATGCCATGAGACTGGGTTGAAATGTTATGGCAATTCCTCCATTGCTATTAATATATTTCAATATAGGCAAAGTAGTGAACCAACAGATCAACATTGGTACACCAAGAGCCATGCTGCTAGCAATAAAAAGAAAGTGGCTTCACTGACAGACAGATTTTGACAGATAAACACTCAAATCCAAACTATTGATTTGTCACTCAGTCACAACACATTGCTACCATTTGAGCCACCCTGCAGTGAGCTTAATCCCAGTTAACTATTACCCCTCACGGAGGGAGAGTCATGTTAATAATTTTCTAGATTCTACAAAAACAACTTTCCCCCCCAAGGAAAGATATTAATGTATCAAGTTCTGTAAATATGGAAAGACTCAGCAATGCTATTTAGGTGAACAAAGCTAGACATAGAGAGAGTGTATAATGCTCACACACTTGCATGTCATAAGTACTTGTTAGTTATAAACATTGTTGGTGTACTGTGCTCAAACTATTCCTGTGAATCAAGTTACCATGCAAATCCTCTATAAAACTTTGATAAGGCGTACTTAAGGTCATTTATCAGCTTTATCTTTATTACACAGGCAGGCGGCTCTAACTCAGGGCATCTGCAAATTAGGCCATAACTGCAAAATGTTATGTCATGCAAGGCGTGTCTCAGGTGGCTCTGTTCAAAAGCTTGAATGCTGAGCGCTCATGTTGATCGTCTTTCCTGTTTCTTGTCTTTGTTAGCCCGAAAATGGACAATCGTCGAGAAAAGACCTCGATCCCAAGCCGTCGTCCGACCGGGCTCTCAAGTTTGTCAGGTTAACAAGCACCATTTCTGTCTAATGTTCTTTTATTTAACATGAGTCATCGGGAAGGATCAAATATAGATCAAACATAATTTAAAGATAAGATAAAGGTTATTGATTTCAGACACGGAAATTAAAGTTCAGCAGAGGAGAAGGGTGTAAACATTGAAAACACAACCAAAGTCAAGAGTTTATTGTTTGAATATTAACCATATGAAGACAAGCATTATGGGCTTTCAAACCAGGCTTAATTTATCTAGATGTGGTGTAAATATAGAATATGGATTATGACATATGACATATTCCTGAATACTACTAGATATATATCACATGTTTAATGCAATCTTGCGCATATTGTCTAAGACATTTAAGGAACTAGTCATTGAAGCAGCCCGGAACATCTGGTTTTTCTGATTGGCTTAAACAATTCCCCACACCATATTTTGTATTGAGTTTTAAGTTAGCCTCTATTATTCCAAGGATAGACACAGACAACAAAAGGAGTCTCAGGGTGAATGGAGTGCATTATGGACTTTAATACTCTTCAGCTGTACTGTGAGTTGGAACTGGTTCCACATCTTTCACTTACCTTTAGTCCACCTGTGTTTCTGGTGCTGCAGCTCTGTCTCCATCTCACTCGACAAAGGTTCCTCCGCCAGCGGGTGCACAAGTCCCATGAGCCCTCGCTCTCCGACGACCCCCTTCTCGCCTCGAGAACACTGGCCGTCTCCCTGCCAGAGCCCCTCTCCTGGGGGAGCTCAGAGCCCTGTTCAGAATGGACACACACAGGAGGTATTTTAACACACAATGAAATAATAAACCTAGGCTTCATGTTTTGCTTCCATCATGAGTTTGGCTGCTAATTGCTTACACCATTGCTCATAAAGCAGCAGCACCCTCTGGTGTTAAGGGTGAAGCGTACAGTCTTTATGTAGATGAGAACAAATTGGCTCTATAGTTGGATCTACCTCCTTGAATGAAAGAAGACATGCTCATTGTATTTTTTTAAATTCCAAATAATGATATCTGATCATATGGGGAAGTACAGTTTTTTTCTTTACTTTAACTCAGACCACTGTGAATGGCTCTCCTTCCAACGGCAACTTCGAACAGACGTCCAAACCAGCGTTTGTCAGACAGAGCTCCAGGACTATATCTTTCAGGGTAAACACATTCAACACACACACATTCTCCTTGCTGAATGCCAACATTCACTTTTGCCTATTTGACTGTTAAAACACGATTTAATCTCGCATCAGCTGTTCGACTATCAGCTCAAGTAATTTGCTTGTGACTCTCGAGCTTCAGGGTTATGCTAATAGCTGGAGCAATATTGAGAAGCTATTACTGCTGACGCGTTGCTTTGTTAACACCCTAACTCATCACGAGAGACGGGATGTGCTGGTCATTAGCTGCTGATGTTTGGGCGACTGTAAGGACTACTAGCTAACAAACTCATACACTCTGGTGCTCTACAGATGATGAAGAAGAAGGAAGAGGAGAGTGCACCGCTGCGGAGGAGGTAAGGAAACATCCTTGTGATGATCTTTTTAGTGACTTTGTGTTAAGTCTACATCAGTTTGATCGCTGATTGCTTTATTTTGTTTTAGTGCAAGTGTGAGGATGGCCTCCGAGAAGTTTGAATCAAACACAGTAAGACTTTAATTTAATGATTTAATTTGTTTGTGATGTACTAAAAAATTCCACAAAACTGAATATCTGTAAAAGGTCATATTTATCACAGTGCTATATTCTTGTCGGTATGGTATCTTAAGGTATTCCATCTATTGGCTGGGTTTATAGATCGGAGATGCTGATTAGTGCATCAACAATTTTTTCAACCTTTGACAAAATGTGATTGAAAGTGTTTTTAATGTTAATTATCAAGGACCAGGACCAACATGGAGATGAAGACAAAACATCATCTTTCCAGAGAAAGTGAGTTTGTATTATTGAATTATAATAATTGTTTTTACTTCTGCGTAGAGTTTGAAATATTGTTATTTTAATAAAAGTGAGTGTACACAGCTTGACTGGTTCAATGTGCTCTCATTTGATCCAGCTCCAAGCAGAGAATTTCTTCCAGGTCCATCCAGGAGAAGATGGAGAGACTGGCCCAGGCTGCACAGGTGAGACTCTCTGAAACAAAACACAATAATTCAACTCCAGAAACTAAACAACTAACCGTCATTTTCTTACTCTGAACGCTGATTTTGTAAAAACTCTATATGTGCGTAGAAGGGAGAAGTGACTCGTTCTCCAGACGTCACCCAGAGGACTCTGTTCCTGCTGGACGAGGTGTCCAGGAAGAGGAGTCTCTTTGAGAAGGAGCAGCAGGGAGTGGGCCCCCCCAGCCCCGGGGTCTCCAGACAGGTACAGCCATTCCTCACAATCACTCATCAGATCAGCGTGTCCCAGCAGTGCACTGAGATCATGAGCAGGTATGGCTTCTGATTGTTTTCCATCTCTGTCGGAAATTCACAGGAATTTAGGAGCTTCAAATCCGGAATGTCAGACCGGATCTCCAGCTGGCTCACCAAGACCAACAACACCGGGTCTTCACACAATCCCACAGTAAGACCATTACTAATAAACTTGCGTTTTGTCCGGTTATCCACCTGAAGAGCCGCCAGATATTTCAGTGTTTAGAGCTGGCGGCCAATACGTGTTGTCTGCTGCCAAGTTTCCCCCCCCATTTCAACACTGTATCTAAGATTTTTAAGAAGTTACACAAGTGTAGCAGCCAGAGGGCAGTAGCAATCTTTCAGCTTTACTGGGAAATGAATGCCTCATACAGTATATTTGCATTCTTCCTGCTGCTAACCCCATATTAGTCAACTCTGACCAAACAATTTCAGATAACTCCATACGATAACAATTATTTATGATTTTTAAATGCATGGCCAACTTCAGTTATTTTATTCTGAAAGCAACATTATGTTTTCCTTTATTGTGTTATTGACGTTTACAGTACAATATGTGAATAACAAAGTCTATCACAATAAAGCATGTTTTCTGGTATTTGAATAAATAAATGAGCCATATTAAATAACCACATTGTAAAACCTATTTTGTATACTCCTGTGTAAATTAAACTTGGGTAACAACAATTCCTAAAACAATTTTTGCAAATGAACATAAGTTTTAAGGGAAATTAAATAGAACAAACATTAAATATAGGCTTAGAATGTATAATTACAGAAAGATTTAAATATATAAGATAGACTTGTATTATTTTGTTTTGTATATGCAGATTTACTGGTTTATACTTCTTTATAGAAAAACAAATCTAACAAATATCAGTATGTATATAATACGGTATATTCAGAGAGTTTATGTTTTGTCTTTTCTGCCTGTTTATCGAGGGCTTTGTGTTGTTGAATAAGCTTTTAATTTTCTATTTGTAGGACTTGAGAAATGTAGACACCAGTAAGAGGAGCCTGTTTGAGAAGAGAGATGAGGACAGTGCCCAGCCTGGAAAAATCTACAAGTGAAGGCTGTCCTTTTATTATGGTCGGCAGGCACGTTGACGGTCCCAAACTGCGCTTTTCCTTAGCAATATATTCAAATATGACATGAAATGTGTTTATTTAACAATATATTTTGTAGGGGTAAGGAGAGAGGAGATGATAAGCACTGGAAGATTATTGGATGCCATGACTGACTGATTCTTTTATTTCAATAGAATACTGCTTTTAAATTAAGGAGGCTTTACAATCATACACATCTGCATCGCTTCTTGAACTACAAATGTGTCAAACACTGAAAATACTTAATGTGTGAGGAAGATTATTCTGTAAAGAGAGGCGAAGAAAAGTGATACATGTGTTTTAAAACTCTTCAGCTATTTGCCTAACTTACTTTGTGTAATTGTTCAAGCACTTTAAAACGGTGAAGGTCTTAAGGCTAATGACGGCTATACTTTTTACTGAATCGTGGGAATTCTGGAGTTGAAATTGAATGTTTTTGTTAAATCTGCCATAATATACATTTTGTTTTGTGCCATTGAGGGCAATATGTCTAAGAAATAAAATATTTTATAACCACAAATGTCTGTCATACATGTATTTGAATTGCTCACTGAAACACTTTCTAGTGTTAGATGCATATTTACTCTGTAACATCACTTATCTGACGGGAGGGGGGGGTGTAGATAAGAGTGGGACGCCTGTGTTTTGTCAGTGGCAGGTTGCCTTACATGGGTGACAGAATGTGTGTGTGTGGTTTGTGGGTCATTGTCTGCGAGCGACTGTGGCTTTATCTGGATCTTTTTGGCACTGCACACTCACACAGTGGCCTTTTTAGGGAATGATGATAAAGGAGAGTACATGCTATCTAAAAGGTTATTAATAACACAACAAGGGGTCCTAAAGCCTCTTCCCCGTCATGCAGTGTGTCCCTTTAACCTCCGATAGTCACCCCACATTCTCATTAGAGAGGGCAGCCACATCTCCTCTGCTGCACATTAAACCTCTCCATCAGATCCCTTTCTGCATTGCTCTTACTCAGGTAAGTTTAGCTCGGTATTTCTCTCATAATATGTTGATTTAAAGCTGAGAAATTATTCTAGGTTCATTGATGGACTCTGTTTAACATTCAGATTCACTTCTGCCCACCTGAGCGCTCCCTGTCATGTCTGACAACAAGGAAGCGGTGGAGGAGTATGAGGAGTAGGTTGTTTTAATATGTAATAATCATAAAAAAGCTCAATTAAACGTGTCTAATGTTTCTGCATGAACGAACCGTACATGTGTCATGTGTAACTGTAAAAGGACATACCTTGTTATACAACATACCTCGCATGGAGTTTTCTTTACAGCTATTGAAATTACAGATTGCTGTAATGTGATGGATGAGTTTCTCACAGAATAAAATGTATGTGTCTATTTTCCACAGGGTGGTGGATGGTGAGTACTCAAGACTAATCGCATACAGTAATATAGCAGCACTGACAGATGTGATATACTGTTTAAACTAAAACTGTGTAGTTTTGATAGATGTTTTCTTTAGGTAATCCAGTGAGTTTGATTTAGGAACCTAAGACTTTCTTGTTGAGCCAAAGATTGCACTAGTTCTTTTTTTTTGGCAAATCAACAAGTGTTAAAGGTATTTACTCAGGGTTTTTTCTGAATGGTTTTATCTTCCTCTAACCTCCATTGATTGTAATAAGTAAACCATAAGTAATTGTGATTGTGTGTAACATGTTTTACTTTCTCCCTAAGTCATTATATTTGTATTTTCCCTCTCTTGTGTATTTTCCTGACTGTGTGATTCAGAAGAGGAAGCCGCTGAAGGTATGGGAATTTTAAGCTAATCAGTTAACCAAGGAATTATTTGTGGTTATGATTCAGTATTACCATAACAACAGGAGTGATACACATCAACAGTCAGGCTGCCTGTGGTTAAAATGACAGTGTTGTGACTAGTGCTGGAGAATTCAGATGCTTTACTTATAGGAACAACGTAATCATAGCACACAGTAAAAATACTCTGTTACAAGTAAAAGTCCAGCATTTACAAGTAAGTAAAAGTATGTAAAGGTAATCGGAAATAAAAAAATAAAGAAGTAAAAGTTGTCATTTATAAAAAGAAAACAGTTGCTGTGATGAAATATATCATTTGATTGTGATTACTTTGATGAGGTTATTTTATGTCATTTGTTGACAGGACTACCACTATAGGCTCATATATTCTATTCATTAATCTGCTGAATATTTTATTGATAATTTATAGATTGTTTGTTTTATTCAAATTAAAAATTAAAATAAAAGAGAGGTGTCATCACTATTACCTTGAGTAATTTGAGTACACTTAATTTGTGCTTCCAATGGTCCAAAGCTCAAAACTATTGAAGACAATTGAAAAAAGAAAAGAAAAATAATACTGCCAGTTGGTAAACACGATTTATAGGTTAGCATTCATAATTTTGTCAAGGACATATAGATTAATCGCATAAACTGGCATACTTGTATGAAATATTTGATAGTTTAAATTATAACAAAGCATTGGATCATTATCTCAACTTAAAAATTATAATTTGGAAAGTAGTAACAACAACTGCTAATATGTGAAGAGTAAAATATTACCCATTCCTTTGAATGAGTAAGAAAAAGTAGAAAGTGGCATGAAAACCAAAATATTTAAGTAAAGTTAGAATACCGCAAACTTGAACTTAAGTAAAGTACTCGAGTAAATGCACTTAATTAATTTCCACCACTGGCTGTGACTGAAAGTCATGAATGATTATTACATCAAAATCATTCATGCTTGAGTTTCAATGCTTTTTCTATCTTTCTTTCTTTCTGGGTTTTGCTGGCTGCTTTGCTAGCTGCCTGGCTTTACTAAACGGATCTGTGCTTTTGCTCAGCAGGGGAGCAGGGGGTAGAGGAGGAGGTGGAAGAAGAGGTGGAGGAAGAGGTGGAGGAAGAGGTGGAGGCAGAAAATCAGGAGGTGGAGGAAGGTACTGCTTGTGCTTTGAGCTAAAAGCATATTTTTTTAACTGTACATGACGGTTGATTTTGTGGACATAGCATTGCAGAGTAGCAGCAGATTTTCTACTTATAACAACACCCTTTAAATCTGAAATATAAGCCACCACATGTAGTTTAATGGAGCTCTCTACGCACACGCACAGCCTTTAAATTGGTTTTAGAATATAATACAAATCTATCAGTTATCCTGCGTAGCTCAAGACCAATACAGGTAGTGAGATGTCACACTGAACAATATCCCTTTTACATTTGGCAAGTCAGGACTCTGGTAGGGGTGTGGAGGAAAAAAAACATGACTCACTATATCTGTAAAGCGTCTTTGAGCACCTGTAAAAGCGCTAACAAATTAATCTATTATTATTATTATTAATCAATAAATAAAACACCAATAAATAAAAACTTCCTAAACATAAATACAAAGACAATTATAAAAGTCTAATCAAAGAAACACAAAAATATATACATGTAAATGTAGGCTACAGAGAATAAAAAATACAGTTTAAGACGTTTAGTAATGTAGTTCTATTCTGCATTTGTTGTCACATTTATTTAGATATCTATGTCTTTATTTATTTGCATATTAAGGGGTTTACATATTTATTTATGATAAATAATCGTCATGATTTGTCCTCTGTAGATTACAACTTGTCAAAAGCCAAAACAAACCATTGTCTGAGTCCACAAAGTCAGTCTCATTGTGCCGCCAGTGATGGAGATATTTCCGCATGTGTCCTGATAAGGTTTTATATTTGACTTTAACTTCACCAGCTCTTGAGTGCCATCTGCTTTAAATTCCAGAGGTGGGTCATTCTGAACTAATCCCCTGTTATCTGCTGGCAAGCTTTCCACTCTGGTACTATCCAATCCAAACACCAAATTAAAATAATGTGGGGGGGACACGACCCCGACGAGTGCAAACAAGCAGCTGTAATAGCAGGAGTAGGAGAACAAATCTAATTGAATTATGAGTTAGTAGCTCTGCCCTCATTTGATTCATTTCACTAAACTTGTGACAAATAACAGATCATTGACAAGGGAGAGTTATGGTTCCAGTAAGGCAATGAGTCAATATCACACCCAGTGAGCGTGAAGATTTATAACCGACATGTTATTATTTCCCCGTACAATGGCAGAGACCGTGCAGGAGGAGGACGAGCCTGCTGCAGAGGAAGAGGGTGATGAAGAGCAAGGTGAGGGTTTCGGAGGGGAACACATGTTGTCAGTGCAGACATGTCGACACTGTTGGTCATTTGTCAGTGCGTACGCAGCAAGATGACATCTCAGTGTGGAGTTGGAAAAAGCAACGATGATTAATCTGCCAAACAATCACTCAGAGACGGGTGGGAACATGTTTCAGTCACACTTCACTTTGGTATGTGACGGTATCCAGTGACTTCAAAATCTTCATGTGTTCCTCCTCTCTCTGTCACAACATTTCGCCACTCGGTGAAAGTAATTCCACGGACCCACCCCCCCGCCCCCGCCCAGCCCTAAGGCTCTGCTTATTATTCAGAATGCAGTGTTTTCCAAATAAAAAATGTTCAGGCGTTTCTCTCTCGTTGTCAATAAATAGAAGTAGGAGAAATGTTAGTCTAATTAAAAGTCACCATTCCATCCCCTCTTTGTGTCAGGAAGGTGTTGTAAATTCACAGATAACACATTTCAACAGTTTGCTGATCTGTTCACACAAATAATATTGAGACAAACGCCGTTGGTGGAGCCTGACACTTAGGATTGTTATTGCCAAAACTACATTTCATTAAATAAACTACATTGTAGATATGGCACATATGACAATTAAGAATTTGAACCTTGAGAAGAGGACTTTTTGTATCTCAGAAATACTTAGTGTCTGCATGATTTGACCTGAGGGTGAGTCCTAAAGACTTTTCCTTTATCTCAGTGGTTCCTAAACTGTGTGATGTGGAATTAGAGAAAAAGTTATGAATGAAGTCTTACATGTTTTTAAGGTCACACTCCTGGTGCTTGCAGTTTTGGCGTTTCCACTCCCCTCTCCGGCATCTGTTGGTCTGGCCACACGGCGGCTGTGGCCTGCCTGATCTTGTGCTCTGTCTGAGTCTGCTGCACACTTACCAAACCTCATTTGACATCCTTTTCTCCTGTCTGCTTTAAATGGGTACACTTCTGCTTGATATAAATAGGCAAATACATTAATTATTTTGTTATCAAACATGTTATAATTGATATAGTTGCTTGTTTGTTGGCATTCGTAAATATACAACAACGTTTACAGACATATAAATACAAGGCATGGCACATACTATGGTGTGCCTATGGGACAAAAACTACTACTTGAGTCTCATCAGCAGGACAACGTTTTCACTTAAATTAATATAAACATCTTCTAGCCTTATGAGCACAGCATTTAGAACAGATTCATGGGTTCCTGACGGGGAATAATAGCAACTGACAAAAACACACGGTCAAATGTTCAATGTGTCCAATGCTTTGGTTTATGAACAAATAGCTACTATCCTTTCAGCCTAACCTTTACTGCCTTTGCTCACAATGTTTGGTGGAGTGTTATTCAGAGGTCAC